GCGCCACACTGAAATAGAGACCCTGCTGGCGTGTGCTGAAAATCAGAGTCCCCTAGCGAGTGTCAGGAATCAGAGATCCCCTGTGCCTATGCTGAGAATTGAGTATCAGAGTCTCTGTTGCTTAGTGCGGCCTCGCGCCGAGAATCAGGGTCCCTGTGTGTGCATGTGCCAAGAATTGGAGTCCCTGGCTCTTAGTGTGAATGCACTGGGAGTCAGGGATCTCACATGAGAAACAAGAGTCAAGTCACTGGTGCTCAGTGCTGCCTTTCGCGTGGAGAATCAGAGTCCCTGGTTTGCTTGGGGGACCAGGTTGCACTGTTGCACTGTGTCATCAGAAGGTCCACTCTTTTGCAAGGGAAAACAGCCTCCATGTGCGTTTACCCTGAATCAAAATAAGGTGGCACTGCTGCCCTGTGTGGGCTTGGGGTCTGGTCATGGGAATGTGGGCCGAGGGAAACACACTCCCCGTGTTCGAGCAACCAGCTTCAAATTCAGCGTAGCCTCCCTGTGGGGGTACGGGGTCTGGTCACACGGGTGTGCACTGAGGGAAACAAACTCCCCGTGTCTGTGCACCTGGGCTCAAATTCAGTGCAGCCTCCCTGTGTGGGCGCAGGGTCTGGTTGCGGGGAACAAACTTCCCCTGTCCACACACCCAGGCTCAAATTCAGGTAGAGCCGCTGCTGTTGTGTGTGGGCAGGAGGCCTGTTTGCGTGGAGAGTGTCTGGCAGTTCCTATGCCACTGCCGCGGGCTGGCGGGGAGAGGGATTGGCTCTGTGACTCACAGAAATCTGGAACCCTGGTCTGCCTGGCGTCTTGGTGTCCCTGGGTCTGCAGTAGTGGTCGCAGGTCTTTCACCTGAGTGGCTGTAGGATCCCAGTTTGTGATTGAGACCAGATTAGGTCGTGGCGAGGCTAGGATCCTAGTCTCAAGCAGTTCTGTTCTTCAAGATGGCGTGGTCTCTGTGCTGGCGGTGTCCTCCCCAGAGTGTTTGCGGAAGCAGCAGGGTTGCACCCTTTCAGACTGACCAGTTTGGCAGTCCCTTGGAAGACCTGCAGGATCTAACTGTCCTAGCTCTCACACACACACACATCACACCTGTCCACACACTCCTCTATCACTCCCTCACTCTCTCACACACACTCCCTCCCTACTTTCTTGTTGGTCGCCATCTTGTCTCTCTCTGAACTCATCTTTAAATAGAGGTTTTCAGTGGTAGTTCTATGTGCCCTGTGGAGCTGTTTCATGCTTACCCCAGCCAGGACTCCATGAGTTACCCATTGCAAACAGTTTTTTTATTGTTGTTGTTATTGTTTTAAATATATTTGTATTGATTTCAGAGAGGAAGGGAGAGGGAGAGAGAGATAGAAACATCAATGATGAGAGAGAATCATTGACTGACTGCCTCCTGCACGCCCCCTACTGGGGATTGAGGCCGCAACCCCGGGCATGTGTCCTTGATCAGAATTGAATCTGGACCTTTCAATCCACAGGCCAACACTATCAACTGAGCCAAACTGGCTAGGGCTGCCGACAGGTTTTAGGTTAGCTGCCTTATCTTAAAACCCCAGGTGTATAGGTGTATACTGAAAATATAAAATTAAATAGATGTTAATATCTTGCTATATTTGTTTCAAATGTTTTAAAATTAAAGTTATACCTAAAGTGCCCTGGCCAGTCTAGCTCAGTTGGTTGAGCCATCGCATGCACCAAAAGGTTACCGGTTAGATTTTCAATCAGGGCATATGCTTGGGTTGCAGATTCGATCCCCAGTATGCAGCGTGCAGGAGGAAAATCGATGTTTTGCTTTCATATTCATGTTTCTCCACCTCTCCATTCCTCTCTAAAAATCAATTTTAAAAATCTTTTTTAAAAAAGTTATACCTAAAGCTAAATACCTAGTCCCACTTAATTGTTCTCCTTCCTTTCCTCCCCAAAAGTAATGATTAATTAAAGCATAATTGTATTTTAAAATTTCACACAAGTAACAACATATAATTTTGTATTCTTTTGCCATTTGCTTTTTTCACTACACAGTATGTTTTTTATAGTAATCTATGTAAATCCTGTTCATCCATTTTTAAAAACATATATATATATTTTTTAATATATTTTTTATTGATTAAGATATTACATATATGTCCCTGTCCCCACATCACCCTCCACCCCCACCCCCGTTGTCCGTGTCCATTGGTTAGGCCTCTATGCCTGCATGTAAGTCCTTTGGTTGCTCTTTCCCCTTTACCCTCCCCTCCCCTCCCCTCCCTCCAAAGCCCGACAGTCCAATCAATGCCTCTCCGTCTCTGGATCAGTCCTTGTTCATCAGATTATGTTGTTCCTTATATTCCACAAATGAGTGGGATCATGTGGTATTTATCTGCTCTCCAGTTCCATCAATGTTGTGGCAAATGGCAAGAGTTCCTTTTTCTTCTTCCTCTTCTGAAAGGATACCTTTCAGCATTTCATATAATGCTGGTTTGGTAGTGATGAACTCCTTTAGCTTTTTCTTATCTGTGAAGCTCTTTATCTGACCTTCTATTCTGAATGATAGCTTTGCTGGATAAAGTAATCTTGTTTGCAGGTTCTTGCTATTCATCACTTTGAATATTTCTTGCCACTCTCTTCTGGCCTGCATGGTTTCTGTTGAGAAATCAGCTGACAGTCGTATGGGTACTCCCTTGTACGTA